CCCCCCCCCCCCCCCCCGGCACCGCACCATTGCATCAACCCCCCGCGAGCGATGACGTTCATGTGCTGGCTCGAGTGGCCCGTTTTGTGTTGTTTGGCTTTGTGTTGTATTGTGTTGCTCTGTTGCTATATCCCCGTGCCTGAAATGTGCCCCCTCTGCATATATTTGTTGTGTGTAGCTACGTCGTGTGTCTTCCTCTGTCTGTGACTTTCTCCTTCGCTTTCCCTTCTCTCCATCTGCTCTCTTCTTTTTCTTTTTCTCCTTCTTTTCCAATCTTGGGTCCCCTCGCATAACGTGCAGAGGCGAGCGGAGTGGCCTAGACTATCTGTCGTTGACTTTTATTGGCTTGCGGACCCTTCGAGTCCATTTAATGTCGTATACCTTTTTTGGGTAAGCTAGCCTGTCGCCACGGGAATCGACCCCGTCAAGTGTTAGACTAGTACGGACAGGAGAAGGTACTGGGCAGAGAGAACGGAACGGTTTTTACTGTGAAGACAACAACAACAACAATTTTTTTCGGCGCCCCGTACAACGTTAACGTTTCGCACGGTGTGTCGGCCGGCCAAACACATGATTTTTCTTAAGGCCACGATCTGGGACGCCGTGAGGGTGCGCCATGTGTGTGTGTGTGCGCGCGTTTTTTTTCTTACTCATCTACGTTGAATTTTTTCGTTCTTTGTCCAATCTAGGGTTACCTCGCATAGCGTGTGGAGGCGAGCGGAGTGGCCTAGACTGTCAGTCGTTGACTTTTATTGGCTTGCGGACCCTTCGGGTCTATTTTATTTTCGCACACCTTTTTTGAGTAAGATAGCCTGTGACCACGGGAATCGACCCCGTCAAGTGTTAAACTAGTACGGACAGAAGAATGTACCGGGCAGAGAGAACGGGACGTTTTTTTATGTGAAGACAACAACATCAACAACAACAACAGCATTAACATGTTGGTTTCCTCGACTCGTGGGCACTGCCAGGTGGACAGAAGAAGAGGGCTCATCTACATTGTCCTGGAACTGGGGGAAACGGACCTAGACCAGCTGATGCGGCAGTACAAGGCCAACATCGCCTCATCACGGTGAGAAGTAAATCACGCCCGGGGGGTGCAACATTTTCCTTCGCTCGCGTTTAGTGGTGGATCATTGTCACCCCTACCGCTGCCTCATCAGGGTGAGAACTAGAGTCAGACCCTGCCCTGATACGCCTGTGGTTACAACAAAATTGTTGGCAGCCTTGATTGTTTTGTGGCACTCACACACACACAAGCGCGCGCACACCAATGTTCGTCTGGGTGATATGGATATTCGTGCTATTTGTTACCTGGCATGTCGTTCCCGCCCCTGCTCCCCGCCCCCTCGCTGTCAATTCACGCCTCCTTGCCGCCAGGGCCGACCCGAAAGCGTTGGGCTTGTTTCCGGGAGGTCTGGACGCCAATTTCGTGAGGGTGATCTGGCAGCAGATGCTGAAGGCAGTTCAGGCCATGCACGAACAGAGAGTGAGTTTTAGTGGACGTATACTTCCTATGCAAGCGTATACGTGAAGTGAGTTTGAGTGGGCATGTACTTCAAGTACTTCCTAAGCAACCGTTCACGCACCCATTTACTGTAGTTTTTTTTCTTTTTGGGACCGGTTTGTCTGCACCTTTGTTTGAGAGCCTAGAACAACACTTAGTTTCCATTTTTCGGGGGCTTTCGATGTAATACCCGTTATGTCCGCTCCATCTTGGTGACGTGTTTGATATTCTGCTGTGGTTTACGTGCATGTACGACTACACGGTCCCCTCCTTTCCGTGAGCCCCCGGAAGCGTTCGCCGTTGTACTAACCGTGGAAGCAAGTCTGGCGCATCCGGTCATGGCTTTGAAGTGATGGGAGCGTCTACTCGTCATCCACACCCCCGACAAATAGCACTTAAGTAATTGGATACAAAATTGGCAAAAAACTTTTACGGAGTATTCTAGTCCCAGCTACTGTCGCACTTTTTTTCTTCTTTGCCTTTTATTTTCTCTCTCGTGCGTCTACTTTCTTGCGCATTAATACTTCCCGCCACTCTCATACTTTCTGTTGACTTCACGGGTATGCATGGCTATGGACTTTCACCCACCACTACCTTTCCCCTCCCCCCCCTCCCTTCCCTCCCACCGCCTTTCAAGGTGGTGCACGGTGATCTGAAGCCGGCCAACTTCGTGTTCGTTAAGGGCTCCCTCAAGCTTATCGACTTCGGCATCGCCAAGGCTATCTCGAACGACACCACCAACATCTCGAGGGACTCGCGGGTGGGCTATCGAGTTTGTTGAGTATTTCCGCGTTCGGTGCCGGCAGTCGAGGCGTGCGGCAGTCTCTGCACGCACACGTTGGAAGGAGATAACCATAGAGCGGTGGCCTTTGCAGTGTTTTCGTATCATGCAAACATTTTAGATGAAGATGACAATCGGGGAAGCTGGGTTAGGGTTAGGAGATGGGGTCTATGTCCCCCCTCCCTCTTCTATTTCCTAAAAAAAATCAATTTCTCGCGAAGGCGGTCCACATAGAACGTTACAAGGGTACTGTTGTAGCAGGAATCATAGTAGACACGGGTTTTGCGCGAGGTTTGGCGTAACATGATGACCTACCTCAATGTGGGGTGTGGAATGGTTCTAAGTGAGGGTATATCTTTCCGACTGTGGCGTGCCAGAGTCTGCATCCACACGTTGGAAGGAGCGAAACTTAGGAAGACGTCGCAAGGGCGCACCGCAAGAACATCTGTCTCATTGCTGCCACCCACAGCGCTAACGAATGCCTGTTTGACCTCCCCACTCCGTGGTGAAAACAGGGTTCATGTGATTGTGTTGTGGCGTGCCAGGTTAGCCTCTGCGTGGAGTGTATAGAGAGGAGAGGTGTGACTCCGTTTTTGCAGCCTTATGTACTACAGCACTAGCACTCTCACGTTGGCGTCTTGGCGTCTTGTCCACGAGTGATGCTTGGCCTATGGTACGTACGGCCGACCCACGTGAGCGTCAAAACTAGGAATAGCTGGTTTTCTGTCTCACGTCATTATGCAGAAGTATTTATTCAGCCCTCCTTATTTTCTCTAGTCTGGTGTTTCGCTGCTTTCGTTGTAGGCCGTTATCTCTAACTCGTCCGGCATTGGATGGGCACACCTTGTTTTCGACTCATTGACGCTACGGTACATTGTCGCATTCATTTGTGGCGATAGGCTCATGGTCATTTCTGAAGCCAAAAATTTCGTTGTTTTGCCAGGAGTATTGTAATTGCCGATGACAAACGACGGAACGGCTCCGTTTTTTTTTTGTTTGGTATAGGTCGGCACGATGAACTACATGTGCCCAGAGGCATTCGAGGACACGGGGAACGGGGAGTTGGACCCCGCAACAGGAAGCCAGAAGCCGGTCATCAAGCAGGGCCGACCTAGCGACATCTGGAGCCTCGGCTGCATCCTCTACCAGATGGCGCATGGTAAAAACCGGCCTTCTCCGTGGTTCTGGTTGTCACTCTCGCAGCGTCCGCCTCACCAAGTTGATAAGGATGCTTGCCGCTCGGAACAAGCGTGCTTGTGTCCTTTGCAATGTCTCCCTCGTGGGGAGGGCGATTGGATGGCTTTCGTTTTTTTCTTTTATTTTTTTTCCTTGTGGCTGAGACAACAGTTGTGGCACTACGCCCCCACCAAACTGTGTGGTCTTCGTAAAATCTAGCGAATTTGCTTCCTTCCCTGCCGGCTTGTTTGTCCCTTGCACACCTCCTTACGCTTATTCTGTTTCCAGGGTAATTTTCTTGTTGTTCACGAGGTATTCGGCACAGTGGAGTTGTCCCCGTTGTAACCCCCTGCCCGCCACTCGTCCTTCCATATTTTCGTTCTTCTAACCCCTTTCAGGCAAGACCCCGTTTTCTCATCTCGGAATGCTGAACAAGATTCGAGCAATCACGGACCCCACCCACGCCATCGCATTCTCCGATCTGGTAAAAGAGTGCTTTGCATATATTTGTTTGTGACGGCATGTTTTTTGTGCTCGTGTGTTGTAGATCCGGACGGAGCTGCACACTTAACGATGCTTGCGAAATGACGTGTGTTTCGACGGAAGCTGTTGCGTGTGCGTTGACCGCAAAGGCGCGAGGGTGTGATAGTGCTCCCTCATGGTGGGCCTGTGCGTAACGGAATGATGACGTCAGGGCTGAATAAACGTGCGCGCGAGCGAGTGGGCTTAATTTCAACACCACGGCTAAGATTGATATCTCTCGCTCTCTCTCTGTCTCTCTCTGTCCGTCTCTCCATCTCTGTCTCCCTCTCCGCCTATGCACCCGCTCTCCCGTTGGCAAGAACGACACGTCTCCCGCCTCTCTATCGAATCCTTAAACCGTACTCGGGCGTACACTTTTCGCAAACCGACAAATCTAGCTTCATTTTTTTTCTTTGCCGCCGGGCGGTCTTCGATCGGAACACCTGGTAGTGTACTCGTATTTATCCCTCCTCGAACAACAGCATTTTGTTGTCGCTGGACACATGCTTGCAGGAGGACGGCTTCCTGGTGGAAACCTTGCGGGCGTGCTTGCGGAGAGATCCGTCGGAGCGCGCGTCGATTGGCGGCACGGATGGATTGCTCTCGCACCCTTATCTCCACCCCACGGCGGCGAGAGGTGAGCAACACCTATCGAGGGTGACGTAGGATACCACACCCCCCCTGGCCCAAGTTTCAAAGGTCAGTTACTTCACCACGAGGAGGGAGGGCAAGCTAATCTAAACACGTTGATGGACCGCTCTCGACGACCCGGTTCCAACGCCGCCGTTTTTGACGCTGCCACTTTTCTGCTGTGGACAAATCAGGCGGCGGGTCGTTTCCATCCATTGCTTCGTGTTGACTTGTGTTTTGGTCGCTCGTGTTGTCCTCTCTGCCCTCTTGGGTGTGCGAAGCTTCGTTGGAGGCGACACTCAACGCAAAACTAGACGCCGCTAACGCTCTCGCTGTGAGAGCCAACGCTCTCGCGGCGAGAGCCAACGCGCGAGCCGCCGACCTAGAGAAGACGCTCGAAACGAAGGCGGAGGAGCGGGTCGAAGGCGTCAAGCGAGAGCTCTCGGCGAGATATGAGGAGATGGTGGCTGCGGAGGTGACGAAGGCGGTGGCTGCGGAGCAGGCCAAACAGATGGCGGGACTGTCGATCGCCAAGAGCGCCCTCAAGGTTTGTTGCTGTGGTTTTTTATTGTTGGTTGTCGCACTATATTAGCAACTGTTCCGAGAGCGCTCTCAAGGTACAACTTAACCCTCCTAGTCCCCAGTCCCTCCACCAAAAAAAAATGCCGAAAAAATGCTTGTCGGCCATTGGTCGAGGGGCCACAGTCCCTCCAAAGAATCTGAGCGCCTTGCCAGACAAAGGGTGATTATGCTTCAGTATTAAAGGTGTCTTCAAAACACGTGGAGACACTTTTCATCCTGATTCAAAGTCAGCAACTTTTTTAAGTAACACGCGATGTACAGTTTTGCGAGCTGGGAGGCACGCGGGTTGGGAGATGTGTCCAGCAAGTCCGAGGCCCAGGAGAGGCATCACACAGCATACAGACAGCGTACCACCTCAGCCAAGCATGGTTCACCAGGGGGTTCTCACGTACGTTGCATACAAAAGAGCCCAGGGTGACTACAGACCGGTCGTCCCGGTGGTCTAGTGGTATCCTCGTATTTCACTAGTCGCAGAGGTCGTCAGTTCGAATCCTCATGGGGTGAAAAATTTACGAAATTTGCGGGTGAAAGCGAAATATAGCTGACAAGCTCTCGTAAGTACCAAACTTCGACGTCAGCACCGTTGACGAGGGAAAGGGACGGCTGGCCCCTTCTCGCGATAGAAATAAAATTCAGCACGCACCGCAGGAGGAACGTGGGACACGCAAAGAATTAAAAAGAAGGAAAAAGCCCTGGTGTTTACCCCCTCCTGTGTGACCCTGGATGGTTGTAGTTGCACGAAAAAACACACTGAAAAGTGCAGTACTCTACATACGCTGAAAAGTGTTTGACACGTCCTCTACGAATAGTGGGGGGACCGTCGCCATAATAAATAGGACCAAAACACACACACAGTGCGGTGAATAGGCCTTCGAGTGCCGTGTCCCAAAGTGTCCTGATTTGGGCTTCCAGAACCAGGAGGGTTAAGTGTACACACGTGCACAGCCGCAGCAGCAGCGGTGGGCGTATAATTGTGGTGTTTTCCCCTCGATGGCTGTCGAATAGATGGCTGGCGGAGAATAAACCTCCTGTGTGGTCTCCTATGTGGCCCCCGGCTGGGTGCGTTCAGAGTTGTCCCGAAAAGTTTATGTACTGTTTGGTTGAATCAGGACGACCCTATTACTTCAACGCGCCTCACCTGCCTTGGTTCTCTCTGTTCTTATAAATTGCAGAGAAAGTGAAATATTTTTCATTATCAATGGTATTAGAATATTATATTTTCACCGTGAGTCCCAGAGCTCCTGTTGATTTCGTTGTTGCCGTTGGGTGTACTCTGTTTATGTTCTGTGAATTGGCGTCGTTTCTCCACTCCCAATAACTGTTCGGGGCACGCCCGTATACACTCAATGGTATTAGAATATTTTCACTTTGAGTCCCAAAGCTCCTGTTGATTTCGTTGTTGCCGTTGGGTGTACTCTGTTTATGTTCTGTGAATTGGCGTCGTTTCTCCACTCCCAATAACTGTTCGGGGCACGCCCGTATACACTCAATGGTATTAGAATATTTTCACTTTGAGTCCCAAAGCTCCTGTTGATTTCGTTGTTGCCGTTGGGTGTACTCTGTTTATGTTCTGTGAATTGGCGTCGTTTCTCCACTCCCAATAACTGTTCGGGGCACGCCCGTATACACTCAATGGTATTAGAATATTTTCACTTTGAGTCCCAAAGCTCCTGTTGATTTCGTTGTTGCCGTTGGGTGTACTCTGTTTATGTTCTGTGAATTGGCGTCGTTTCTCCACCCCCAATAACTGTTCGGGGCACGCCCGTACACACTCACTCCTACCGTAGCCCGCGTATACTGAAGGACTGTGTTTTCATTCTTTTTCATTGGTGTTTAAACTGGACCGTTAGTTTGGCGTTTGGCATCAATCTCTACCTTTCTGTAAACAAGACAGCAGCTTAATAACGTACGCTGTGCCTGACGTGATTTTTCGCCTGCTCGACTTTCCACCAGCACATCATCGCCAACACGGTCCGAGTCCTGCACGCGGAGAAGTACTCGGGAGGGAGCAGCCTCGACAGGGCCAATCTCGACCGAATTACGGGCCTGGTCATCGACTTGGGTCGAGGTGGCGGGGGTGGGATCCAGGCAACCGGCACCCGGCAGTGACAATCATGCCGACCAGACCCTCATTGGACTCGTGCTGTGTTTGTTATGCCTTTGTTCCATTGTGTGTTTTGTACATAGAGCTGGCCCGGTCAGCTTCCAGCGGGTACCCTTTCGCATATTGTTTGATGGCTACTTTGTTGTGGACCCCGAGGGAGTAATTCTTGCTTCCGTAGACTAGTGAAGTGGATCGAAACGCGAATGAAAGCGGGTTTTACGCAGTCCACACACGTCGCTGGGGCTGATGGTCATGAGATTGATGCTTGTGCTTTTCCGTCCATAGATGCGACGACGTGTGTCGTTTGATTGTGCAGCATGCGAACCGCCCTTTCTGGGGTATGTAATACGGTATGGTTTTTCGTGGAAGTGTTGGTGTCGGTGCTCGCACGGTGGCATTTTTGATTTTCCTCGAAATTGTAAGTTGGCCCCGTTTTTTTTTGGGAAGGGAGTCCGAAGCGGTATGACATGTTGGGTGATCGCGTACTTACCGGAATATCTCGTACTGAAACGCTAGTATGCTGAGTGCATGATTCCGTGCTTTTTTTCTGTGGTGATTGTTCTGACGGCTGTGCTGCGAGGTGGTACTTGATCGCATCGATGATGGCGCCATTTTCTTCACCTAACCGCCCGCATCAACGTTGTTGTCTTGGTCGGAATCGTCTAGATGTCGCCTATTCTCCAGAATATTATCGGCTACCGTTCGCATTGCGAGATGGTGTATGGAGTGTGAGTTTCGTCTTGGCCACCATTGTACGCGTCGGCGAGCCATTATTGATGCAGTTCATAGAATGTAAGCCAAGGATCCGAGAAACACCCATCCATCCGTCCCTGTCACGTTCTTGACGTGTTGTGCATTTGGTCATGGAATGGACCTGCAAAGCACTCACAAGTGCATTGTGCACACAATTTTTCCGATCGCATCAACAACAACGAGAGAAGGTGTCACGTCTGCTTAAGGTTATAATCTCGTTGTGCTAGCCGCCTGCATGCGATTTGTGGTACGTACCAAAGGTGAAAGGTTGTGTGCAACCTAGTGTGCCGCAAGCGCCAATCAAAGCTCAGCACCCTTGCCGATGTCTCACTTGTTCACGACTGTGCGCGAAAAATAAGGTGCGGGCCCCGCCCCTACCCGGCGTGTTGCAATCGATCCCCTGTACTACTTTGCAAGAAGATAAATCATTGCTATCACACTTCATTGACTTCAGATGAAGAGGGGCAGTTGTTGCACGCACATGACAAGCCCCCTACATGATTCGTGGCCGGACGTCATAAACCCATGTCAGCTCTTGATAGCCATTTTCTATGTACATGAATGCAGGACTAGTATTCACACGCCCCGTATACTTTCGCCGCGTGCGTGAGAATGGGCCGGCCAAGCGTTGGTCCCAAGTGTTCGTGCAAGATATTGGGCATGAAAACACAATTTGACCCTGACGCTCGGTCATCTAGTCGCCAAAAAAGGCATGGTTGGCGTCGTAGCTCATCCGCACAGGCAACCCACGTGGGTCCCGCAAAAAAACAAGAATCACGACAAAATATATCCGACCCTCCCCTCGGTAATGCCCTTAAACCACACGGACAATTACGCGACACCCGATAAAAACAAATCGATCGAGGGAAAAGAGAAACCCGAAAGGGGGTTGAGGAATGGCCGTCAAGTTGAACAACCGGACCACCAACCGTGCCACTCTCCCTGTCCCAGGCGATCTCATGACCTCCGCTAGAAATCGAGTGCACAACAACAGCAGCCTCAAACTGCTGTTTTCGTGGATCGGTTGTCAAGTGCTACGTAAATCCGACCCTACTGAAGTGGGTATCTGTGAAATCGTTTACTAAGGAGGGGGGGGGGGGCTCCGCGGTCAGCGCGTTTTTGTGGGTGGTGGTTTCCGCCTTAGACACCTCCAGCTGTTTGTGTCGCCGTCGTCGGATGAAAAGGCGAGCGTCACCGGAGGCTCCTGGTAACCTCCGTGCTATTGTTGCGTCGGTCCTCCTAGAGGGTTCTGTTCCAACGTCACGCTCCTGTAACGCAAGGGTGGAAACGTNGGGGGGGGGGGGGGGGGGGGGGGGGGGGGGGGGGGGGGGGGGGGGGGGGGGGGGGGGGGGGGGGGGGGGCTACTCATGCAAGCGCATGCCGTAGTCGTGAGACTAATGACCTCGAACCCCTACAATGACGGAAGGCGCGATGTGCCGGGTTTTCGGCGGCCCAGGCCACGTTTCACGAGGATGAACATTGCCATCATCCTGGACCACCATTGCCATCATCCCGGACCACCCTTGCGAGATAAAAAAGTTCATGAGGAAAAAGAAAAGGGAAGAGGGACGCAAACTCTATTCGCTGACCCTTATCCTGACCCAACTTCCCCGATTGTATTTTATCCAGAATGTTTAGATTATCGAAAAAACCTGCGAAGGATACTGATAATCCTTGCGTTTGTTATGTGCTCGACCAGATGTGCCACGAGCAGCCGGAGGGGGGGGGGAGGGAACGACGACACGATGAGGGCGCATGACAAATGCATCTTGTATGCGGCGGTACCGTACCGGGAAAAAACTAGTACGATCTCTCGATAGTGCGTTTTTGTGCAGGGGGCGGACGAAGTTCGGTCGGTAGAGGTCGCAAAAGATTGTTCGTGGAATGCACACATGTCCAAGGTATCGGAAAAGGTAAAGCACGAGCAGGGAAGCTGCACCTATTACTCGCAAACCGGCACGTTGATACACGCATCAAATTGACAGCTTTGAAGAGCGTAATCTTACCGCCACTAGAGTACACCGCAGAAGTATGGGGAGGTAATGAGAAGGTGGTCAAAAAGCTCGAGGCGGCGCAGCTGAAAGCAGCGAAAATCATCATGAGATGCTCCAAGCGGACAAGTGACGTAGTCGTCAGGGCAGAACTGGGGATCCAATCCCTACGATCGGGAAGAGACGCAGGGGAACTAAAATGGCAGTACAGCATGTGCGGCATGGGCGAGGAGAGGCTGCCGAGAATAGCTTGGGAGGCGAAGTGGGCAAACAACAAGAGGGTTGGACAACCCACGGAGAGGGTCAAGGTTGTAGATGACGCAAATGATGGAAGGGGTTCGAAATTGACAAAGGTGGGACGCTGGAAACGGAAGGTCTAGAGGTGTTTACGGAGAAGATATCTGTTGCTTGTGCCGAGAGAGGACATAATATAACAAAAAAACAAGGAGGAGAGCCTCGAAGTGTACGGAATGTTGAAAGAAGAAATGGGGTTCAAAGAGCACCTACATGGACCAATGGATGCAAACGACAAAGCTGAAAGTCAAGTTAAGGACCGGGGACATTGGCCGTCGAGAACGTAGACCGAGATTTCGGAAGTAGGCGATGAAGACGACAAGTTCAATGATGATTGCGGCTCCGAGTGCGAAGGTCGGGTTCATGTAGTTGGGGAATGTCCGTTGTACAAGGAGAGGGAAGTGTACGTGACTGAGCTGGGAAAAAATAGAGAATAAGGTACGGCAGATGTTTCGAGGGATGGAATGGCAAGGAGACGACGGCAGCTGTACTGGGACATAGGAAGAGGGCTGAAAAGGCGGGAAGTGATATCGATATGATAGATGGGCTAGGGAAAACAGTTTTGAGCCACCTTTGGCAAAGTTAGAAGAAACGATTGGCCATCGGTGGTCGGTCCTGTGGGAACAATGCTCCGTCTTTTCGAGGACGCGTGGTCAATGGTCTAACCGCTAAGGCTTGCAAACCAAAAGAGTACGCCTGCGGCTGTTCGTCGCTGAGCGCCGTGCCTCTCGAATCTTCCCAATTCTATCCTGCCATCCCGGTCTCATCCTGAGTCGGCACCTATCCCCGCGTCGCACGATCGATGCCTCACATGTCCAGACCGCTGGTGTCCATCTTGGTGTAGACCATGAGCTGCTGCAGGCCCTTCATGGCCAACTGCCGCTGCTTATCCACCTTGACAGGATCACTCTCCGTTGCATTTTTTCTGAACTGAGAGGGGAGAGAGCACAAGAATAAGAACGGCCACAGCTGGAAGGGTGAGCAAGAGGGACTTGCACCTACCGCGATGTATCTCTAACACGCCGATGGTTCTAGTTGAGGCCTCAACGAAGTGCAAAGCATGCAACAGCGACTTGGAATCAGGCCTTCGCGGCATGTGTTGGCGTCCCACGAGTGGAAGCTTTTTGGTCAGTTGCGCCTAAGCTATCTCGTTTCGATTCCTTGACCATCACCTGATATCTGCATACTACAACGGCCGTGCAATGCTGACCCTCTTGCAGTCCGCAGGGGCTCCCACCCTCACGCACAGGCAGGAGTGCACACTGTCTCCTAGACATAAGTATCCATGGCGCGAGAGACGGTGTCGTTTTAGGAAAAAACAAGGATGTGCAAAAAACTCTTTTGCACACGTAGGTACTCCTATTTCGGAGGATATGGGGGGGGGGAGGATACGAAGTGACCATCCCTCCCCCCAGAATGCCATGCCAAATCCTATATAAAACCATACCATACAAACTTCTTTATAAAAGGGGCACCGTGTGTTCTAAAGGGGGACCACAGTGCATCTGCGTGCCCCCTAATAGCCATGTGCTCAAAAGCGCCAGTGCACCAGTACGGGCCGCCCGTAGCATGCACGCATGTGTTGCGTAGCAGCTAGGCAAAAGGGAGAACATGATAAACGCACCCTCAAGGGGGGGGGGTAGGCCTACAGCCCAGGCGCCTTTCCAGCAGCAGGATTGGCTGCAGCGACTGTGTACAAGGAGAAGCGACACTAAAGTTCGCGTGAATGGGGTGGATTTGCTCCACCGCAGATTCATTCAATTTTATCTGAACTCTCGCGCCAAAGACGGATTCGCGAAGTTCTACCGTTGGGATAGGCCTGAAGACGGCGGGTGATAGCTCGATCGCCACACCATTCACCAACGTGCCACTGAAGTGCATTTTTTGCCTTCCCGCGCGTTGGGTGGTTCTGGTGTGGAAGTTCTCCATGCCCTACCACGTACAGGGCAAGTACGGCGAGGAATCACCCATGAGAGAGAAGGAAAAAAGAAAAGGAGCCAGATGTACGCTCCCGGGGGAGTAGACTTACTCCGAAACGGCGGTGTTCGGAGTTGGGGTTGTTCAATGATCAAAGTGCGAATTGCTGTTGGAACGGAACACTGCTGTGCATGGATAGTTGGAAACTCCCACTATGTTCCGCGGTGTCCGTCGATCACTTTGTTTGGTTCTTTGTTCACGCGCGCAGAGGCGTGATGCTTCTTTTCCGGTTGGGTGTTGACTTCAATGAACTTTGACTAGACTATTCGAGGATAGAGCGTGGATTATGTGGAACTTTGTCCTGTACAGTTTCTCCACCAACACCAACGCGTTTCTTTCAGCCGTAGTGTCAGTGCAGCGAGCAGTCAAACACAACACTATTGCGTACCAAAGTTGAGGATACGGGCAACAAGAACAAGAGAAAAAGTGAGGGAACAAAAAAAAATCTTAAATTTGGCCCTCTTGGAGGGAGGGGGGGGGCTACCTAGGTGGTGTGCGGGACAACTTGTCCCGCACACCCTTGGAAAAAATATACTTCATATATATATGAAGTAAATAATTCGTGATTTATCCACACGCCGTCAAATCTCACTGTGATATTTAGATATTTAGAGGTTCTCTACCCTGCCTGGTGATCCTACACCCTGGTAGCTGCTGTTGCTGTATTCTGTTTGCACAGGAACAGCAGTATAATTAAACCTGAAACAACAGCAGTGCCACCGCTGTAGCAAGCAAATTCCTCACCTCAACGCGAATCTCCTTCAACACACGATCTCGACTCTTGCTCGGGTAAACGCGGGCGTTGCGGATGATCTGGCGGTACAGCGACAGCATCTGAGCGTGCGACATGTTGGTCCAGGGTGTGGGAGGTCTCTGCCCTCTCTGCTTACCTGTGGTCTGTAGCAATGCGGTGTCAAGTGGCGTGGGCGTCTGTCGCCAAAGGTTGGTTCGCCGGGTTCGACCGCCCCCCTATACTCTACATCGCGGAGCCCCCTGTATCCATGTTGTCATGCCGCATACGGCAGTCTGTCCATCTCTCTCACTGGCTTGCCATGTCCCTGCCTAGCCTAGACCACTTCAACTTTCGAGAGTACGACCATTTCTACGAGCCAGCGGAGGACACCTATCTCTTGATCGATGCCCTGCAGGCCGATGCGGACCTGTTGCGATACAGCGTCCGACCAAGGGTGTGCTTGGAGATAGGGTAAGATTCACGGTGGTTGTACTCATGGTTGCCCAGTGAGAAGATGAAGGCCGCCTCTTTCCTCATGGTAGAAAACACAAGTTCAAGTTCGGCAACAGGCGGTGCACATCATCACCATTTGACATGTAGGGGGAGGAGCTATCAAGGGGAGGGCGGATGATGCGAAATGCGGCAATGCGGCGCAACCTACAATTCCAACCTCGGTGGCCGTAATCGGCTGGGATAACTCTCTCTGACACAAGTAACTCGTTGCTGTAGCAGGTACTGAGAGTGTAGCCCGTGGAATGTCAGCTATGTTTAAAGTAAGAACACCAAAGAGCGTTGTCCAAGCTGCAGCTCTCTCCGCCGATGTCTCACCACCCCGCTACCCAGCGGCGGAGCACATTTCGCAGACCATGTGTGCAACACGCCGAGTGCCATTCCTGTGAAGAGTCTACACTATGGCTCAGTCACGTTGTTGCTAGTATTTTGAAACCACCATCAACTGCAGCTCTTTTTTCGCAGTTCAGCGAGCTCACCAATCACTACCGTGGCGTGCCTCATCGTCCAAACATCGGCTCGTGTGATTGTAGTTTCCGGTATTCTGGCACACGTGACCGAAGGTTGCCTGCACCCCCTGCATCGTGTACTATCGACCCCCCAATACCCATGAGAGATCACTGCGACTTCAGTCCTGCTGCTGGCAGAGGTTGCTATGCATCCTTGTTGAATATGCCCGCACAACAACGATGCCACCCATATCCCTCCCGGCGACCTTCTGAACCCACAACGCAGGCCAGGCAGCGGCCTAGTGACGGCAGCCCTCTCCGCGTTGCTGCGGGAAGAAGAGGAGGAGACACCCTTGAAGCCTCCACCGCCGCCCCCGCCACGGCCGCTCTTCATGGCCGCGGAGATTAACCCGCGGGCTGCCGCGGCTTGTGCTCTCACGGCGAAGGCCAACAACGTGCGGTGCAATAGAGAAATAGCCAGTCAAATTTCATGCTAGGGTTCCCATGATCGTATGTGCGTGTCTGCAGACTAGACCTGTGTGGGCATAAAGCTCGGGGTACTTACTGCCCTACTCCAAACTTCGAAATTGTGTTGGGGTCCCTGCGACCGTATGCACGTCTGCAGACTAGACCTGAGAGCAGGAAGGTCGGGGGAGTTTCCTCCTCCAAAACCTTGTCGATATCAACACTCAAGGCTTGGCGATCATTGCCAGGCTAATAAATAGGCCTGTAACCTGCATAGAGACGGAAGCATGTTCGACTGATCGTCAACTGGGACAGGTTTGCATCGCTGCCCCCAACACCATCCGTTCTTGCACGCCGTTCTCGGCAGGTGGAACCGTTCGAAGTTGTCTGCTGCGACCTCGACATCTGCATGCGGGATCGCTTGAGAGGGCAGGTCGACATTCTGCTGTTCAACCCTCCCTATGTTCCAACACCACCGGAGGAGGTCGGTTCAAAGTGAGAGAATGCACCGCACCGGGGGGGGGG